CTAGTGAAAAAAATGGCTCCAAATGACAGAGGAAAGTCCCACAAGTTTCCTAATGTTAGCAGGTACCAACCCTGCTCACACTACACAGCCATCTATGGATTATTAAATCCCAAAAGTGCTGGTCTTTGGTGTGAGCACCAACCCTGCCCAAACTGCATTGTAGCAACGGAGATTTAAATGCCCATTTAAATGTTTGCTAGCAGCCGTAATTGAGTGGTGCAAAGAGAGCATCAGTCTGTCTGAGATCACGAATTCTGGCCCCAACTGACAGAAGGGAACCCTAGATATCAAATTATACTGGGGTCCCAGTTACAAGCAGGGAAACAGTCCCTACTGATAAAATACTGCATGATGTAATTGGTCCATCATGGGTCCTTAAAGCTGCACCGTCATGGCTGCATCAGATTTTGTTTGTTTTTTTAATCCCTCTCAAGACTCTGCTACATTTTACTGTCCCCCTAATCGCCCCTAAATGCCAAAACGGCTCCTATATCACCTTTTTTTTAAATTTTATGGCCTCATTTCTTCTCCGGAACTATGCCCTAAGCGCTGCCATCTCAGAGTTCTTGGATGACATTTGCTCACACTAAATATTTAAAAAAATATGTAACATTTTTTTGTTTTTGTTTTTTTAAGTGTCGTGAAGCTGTGCTCCCGCCGCTTTCCTTTTTAAATATAGTACATATTTTTGAAGCTGAGCCGCAAATAGTGGCATGTCTGCAAACAGTGTGCAAAAAACTGTGCGGGTGAAAATAAGTTGTCCCCTGCCCCACCCCCATTATAATTTAGGGGCCACCCATCACTGTGTGGGGGTTGGGGAGGATAATTGGGCCCCCACATTATCATTTAGGGCCCCAACACTATGCCAATGGGTGTGGGCTAAGAGTGGACACTATGTTAACTATTTTAACAGGCGCTGCACCATGGCAGATTTGAGTCGCTAGCGCCCTCCTTTTAATAAACTAAAATGAAGAACGAATAGCAATTCGGTCTTTTTATTTGTTGAAATTTTCATTAATTCTTGTCTATTTGTCTTTTGAACATTTCAAAATATCAACCCAAAGAGGTCAGAGCCTGACCATCAAGCTGAGTGGATGTATGCCGCGTAACTATTGACTCTGTTCAGTAGTTTGTTAGTTTTCAAACTACCTAACTAGACCAACCACAAGCCCTGATTCTCTGGAACTGTTTAGGGCATGGGGCCATGCTTGCGGTCGGTCAAATAAATGCCTTCCATGGAATTTCTGAACCCCTAAACTGATCTGGGTGGTTTTTGGATATGTTGGTCACCCAGATCACGGCTATCATGGGATGTAAAATTTGTGGATATATTATGCGTTTTGGGGTACTTTTGGGACTTTTTTTGAATTGTGTATTTTTTCTGCCTTTAGATAATTGGGTTAATGCAGTATCTGATCCAATTATCTCCCAAGCAAAGTGAAAGGATTGATGCCTTGTGTGGGAGTGCCTTACATTGTAAATGTGGTGTTATTGGTTTGGAAGCGTGTGTCCCTGTCCCCAACAAGGTCTATGTGGGCGTACACCTTGCTTGGGGACTTGCATAAAAGGCCAAGTGTGGCACCATTAAAATCTATTCCCGCTCACACTCCAAAACGTTGTGTCGTACAGTTATTGGAGGGAAAGAAGATTTACTCCTGTACCTGCTGTTCCAGCTTGCAGGGGAATAATGGGGAAAGTCCTTGAAAGTACTAGAGCTAATTCCCCATTCATCTCCAGGAAGGAGCAGTTCCAGGGCCCCATTCAAGTCACAGAGACTGTGGGAAGAAGTGCTGCAGTTTGTCCCTGTTCCAGCTAGGAAGCGGTCCATGGCAGAGGTACCCAGTCGGGGTACAGGGAGCTCCGCTACAGCAGGGGAAAAAATCCGACAGAACAAATCACTTGGAACAGAGGAGCCCCACTCGTGCACTACAAACAGACCAGCTCCTGCCCCAACTGCCACATGCCCACTTGGGCCAAAGGACACCGGGAACTTGACCCCCCACGTCCACTACACAGACGGCCTGTTAATTATGTGAAATGGGCTCCTCCCTTCATCCCATATTTAAAAAAAAAAAAAAAAAAAAAGATTTTGTTTCCTTATTAATTTGTATTCATTTCTGGTATTTATAAAGCGCCAACATATTCCGCAGCGCTATACAATTGGGAAAAAGACAACACAATAAGAACAGACCGATACAACAGGTAGAGCGTCTTGCCTGTGAGCTTACAATCTAAAGCTTAAACTGGGGAGAGGAGACAAAAAGGTAGCAGAGTAATTTGAATGTGATGGCAGAGAAAGTTGATGGTATAACAGTAAGTCCGTGACATGGAGGTGCCAGCCTAAGAACAGGCCCAGGGCCTGAGGGATGCCATACCTCAACACCGTTCCAGCGATCTTCCCAATGGACTCTCTAATCGTTTACAATGCTTACAGACTATTGGAATTGGATGAAGCTCCGATCGTTAGAACCTGATGGCCTTTCTCTAAAGAGATGGATCCTTGAAACCTAAGATGCCGACATGTTGTAATGCTTTATTTTGATTATGTTGACCTGTTGTCTTTTGCTTTTATTTTGTTTTATTTACTTAACACTCAATTTATCTTTCTGCTTACGGTAACTCATTGACCATGATTTCAGCTCCAGTGGAAAACTACTACGCTTGTACTTGCTTATTTAATGCTATTGAGTACTCTTGATCATGCCTACGCAGCATAGTTATCCTGTTATTGTATATCGTGTCAGAGTTTAATTATACCAAATATGCATAGCTATGTGCCAGTTTACTATAAAAACATGCATAAGTAGCCAGTATTTTCTAGCCTGACAATGCCTGCTTACATTGAATGTGTTTCATAATGTTGGTGAGTATGTAGCCTGAACGCTGTGCTTTACTCAAGTTTATTACAACACAAAATTGTGCTGATGTTCTAAATGTCATGATATATTGCCTGTTCTTACCAAGCTTGATATTGCGGTTGTGCCGTATCTAGCTCATATGTTATTGCTTGCACTACAGAAAAAAAGAATTTAAACACAAAAATCAGTCTGAATTTTGGACAAAAGTGAATGCCAAAGCTTTTCTTCAATTTGGTCTGCATTTACTAAAGATCAAATTAAAGAAAAGTAAGGGCTTTTCGTAATTTTGGTCCTTAAGCTTTTTAGAAGATAGCTCCCCAAAATGTGTGGCAACTATATAGCAAACCCACAAGGGTACCAATTAAGGGAATTTTCGGAAGGTATCTACTAAACGGCTGCACAATGCAGCCTCAGCCCGGATCGGAATTTAACTCTTGAGAATGAGAGTCCAAAATGAAAATAATGAAAGATATAATGAAAATGAACACAAATAGACAAACTGTCGTAATTTGGTTTGGACAAAACTATTTTTATGGCGCCCAAGAATACATGACCGAAAGTTCTGGCAAACGTAAGCAATGCAAGAATACAGAGGAGGAAAGGAGAGTATTATGGGAAAACTTTCCTTGACATAGGAAGTGGAGCTTACCTAAGCTTTTGTTTCTTCTTCTTTCTAAGAAAATCAGGAGTAGGAAAAATATGTAAGAAACGTAGTGCCTGCTTTGTGTTGTGTTTTTAGTTAGAAGTAGATGAAAAAAAAAAATAAATAAAAAAAAAAAAAGAATAGGAAAGAGGACGAGAAGAGGGAGTGATTGGGAAAATGTAAGTATGGCATGCCACTGCTGGTTAAGTGAAGGACAACTATAAATCGAATGTATACGTAATGCATTCTTATGGGGTTTAGCCATTTTTGAGCAGTTTAACTATGAATGAGAATTCCTGCCCACTCACAACTTGACCCCCACTGGAGTTATGGCTAAGGCAAGGATTACACTTTCTTTAAGCCATGCCAATAATAGGCACGGTGATAGGCTGAGAGAGTTCATATGACAATCTCAGTCAATCAAAGCCTCTCACTGCTTAGATGAATGCACTCTCAGTTTAAGAAGCACAGAGACATGAGCCACAGGAAACATTTGTTTTGTAATAAAACATTAAAATCCGCTTAACTCTGTATTTAGGGGCAATGCCAGGGAATATCAGGCACTGTAACCACTTCAATGAGATGAAGCTCTTACAAGTGTCTACAGTACTTTCAAGCACTAAACAAGCAAACTGAAGATATTTCCTTAAGGGGTTAAAACAATCTGTGCACCCAGGCTAGCTGAAGCACTTCCATGCTTGGTAAGAAACCACTGCAAAAGATGCAAACTACAAGTAATATCAGCAAATGCAGGAATTCAACATAAGGTGTCTTTATTTATTTACATTATTAAAGTAATATATTAAAAATGAGGAGCTTGTGGTGTCACGTTAACCACACTGCACCTGAAATGCTAACACCAAACACAATTTAACTTTTATACCTACATATACACTTTCAATGGTACAAATGAAAGAACATTCTACAGCCATTACTACAGCCAACAACAAATGCCAAACAAAAATTCTAAAAACCTAAGCTGGCACAGAGTCAAACGCAAATTATGTTTCGTTTTAGCATTTAATCTTCTGTGTAGTCATCTTTAAACATATGTAAGGTCACTCTTTCAGCTGTATCGTAAATAGTGTCAGGTAAATGTAGTACAAACTTATATTTTAACTTTATGTATTGGTTAGTTTACTAGGAAGAATTAAAAAAATATATATAGAGAGATAGATATATATATATATATACACACACACACACACACACACACACACACACAATCTCTTGGAATGGTTTAAAAAAAAAAAAATTAAAATTTTTTTTTTGAATTTACCAGAATGGTAAATATTTTATAAATGTATACATAGAAACACCACAAGCAACCAAAAGACAGATCGAGAAGGCGAACACCTCTAAATCTGTCTTCTTATTTACCCCTTAATGCTGGATGACCAGATTGCCATGGTGCCGGCGATCGCCGGGTTACCGCTCCTCGGGTCTGTCCGGGAGCCCAAAATCATATTGTAGCCTAGACTGAGAATCACCCCATGTTGGCGTACCATTTGCAAAAGTAGAAAACCCAGGGTATTCAATACTGGGTATATCCAGCTTCTTTTTTTTTAGCCACTTCGTCACATATACTGACCAACATTAGCATTCATATTTGTTTTTGTGTTTAAAAAAAAATAAAAAATTAGAATGCTAACTTTTCAAAGTATTTGTAACGAAGTGGCTACTAAGAGGGACTAGACATACCCCACTTGCAATACCTTGGGATGTCTACATTTGCAAATGGCATGCCATCATGGTGGTAATTCTCATTCCTGGGCTACCATACGGTCTCAAATGCAACATAACCAATCTGGCGAATTTCAATGTGAAAAAATGGAAATACAAGTCTTATATTACACTCTAACTTTTGTAAACCCAATAAAACCTGTACAAGATGTGTACTGTTGTACTTAACCCCTTAAGGACAGAGCTTCAAAAGCTTGTCTTTCACTTAATGACAAAGGCATTTTTTTCATTTTTTGCGGTTTGCATTCAACTGCAATTTGCATTTTGCTAATTTGTTGCACCAACACACATTATACATCGTTTTTTAAAGGACAGAAAGGGATTTAATTTGATGTAACACACATATATATGCTTATTTATTATTTAAAAAAAATACAGAAAAATGTAAAAAAAAAAAAAAAAAATGAAAATTTTGTGGGTTTTTTTTACAGTATTTTTACAGTTTTGTGTGCATAATTAGTGCAGGTTAAGAAAAGTAATTAAAAATAAATTCATTTAGTTCTGATTTACAGAATATATAATGTGTCTGGGATTTTAAGTTTTTTTTGGTAGTTACAGGTCACAAAGCACAAGGAGTAAAATAGACTTTTAATGTGGAGCGATTTTAGAATTTGGTATGTTTGTCTTGTAAGCTTAATAGCCATAAAAGAAAACAAAATTGCCACACAAAAGTATATATTTATATAAAGTAGACGTCACGGACTGTTTACCTAAAGTTGTTTTGACACTTTCTACGTAGCCATTTCACCGCCAACCTCTGCTAAATATTGGAGTAAAATTGTGGTTTTTTTTGTTTTTGGCACACAAACTTATAACAAAGAAATTCTCGTGTACATTTTGTAAAGTTGGTGTGTGCTATTCCTGTACAAAGTTTTATTTTGTGTTCAGTTATATCTGCTGAGTAAAATGACACCCCCATTGTATGTCTTTGGCACTATTTCGTGAAGTTACAGTGCCATACAGGATACCTGTCCTTTTCAGTATTCACAGTAGAATTTTGAGAGATGGATTTAATGAGCCTTAGCTTCCATTTGGGGTATTATAACAGTTTGACTGTTCAAAAAACCCCCACAAAGGCCTACCATTTGTAAAAGTAGACACTCCAGGGTATCTTATAAGGTGCATATTGTGCCTTAACATGCCCCCATTTCTTCACCAATATATGCCAAAGTATGTGGTAAAAATAATTTTGTACATTTTTTACATACGGATTGCATTTTTTTTTTTTAATTTGTATTTTATTGAGTTATTTTCAGCATTATACAACTTTTCCAATATATTTGTCAAGAGTAAGAAAGGAGTCAAACATTTATGTGAGTATTCAAGGTCAGAGGGGTGCATATTTGCATGTAGTCATGTGCATATGTCCGACTCACAAGTACTTGTGCCCAGCGATCACGGTGGTGCTACGCCTTTGCTGGCCATAGGCATTATGGAACAGTCCAGTATCAGTGGAATGGTGTAGGTTCAGTGAGAGAAAGGGCTGGTATCCAAGCCTCTACTGCGGCTTCAGCTTCTTGGTGGTAAGTTTTGTTATACTTTTGAAGGTGCGCTTGGCGTTGTCTCCACATGCTGTATTGCTTGGTGAAGTTGGTGTGTCCTTCGGCTGCAGCTGGAGTGACAGGCTCAACTTTTGTAGGAACTGTTTGGGGTCGTCTCGGGACGTTAGCGTGAGGCTTCCTCCCCCCTTCTCAGCTAGTATTGATCCCTCTGTGCCCCATCGGTACCTGATGGACGAGTCACGTAGTAACCTGGCTACTGGTGCCAGCTTTTTTCTGGGATAATGGGATATCAGCAAAAATCACTATTCTGTGGCCTTCATGTGGCACCGTCCCCATCTCTCTGGAGCGCTGCAGTATTTCTGATTTTACCGCTATGTCCCTGGTCACCGCTATGACGTCTCTGGGTGCTTCACTGGGTGCTGCGGCTGCTTTTCTCACTCTGAACACTGATGTGATCGTTGGTGAGTTAGTGTTGCTTTCTGCGCCCATGGCTGTCAGCATAGTGCGAACCCACGGCAGGAGCTTGGTATTTTCGACCGACTCCGGGATGCCCCTAAGTCGCAGGTTTTTTCTCCTGTGACGGACTTCCATCGTGGTCACCACTCTATGTAGTTGCTGTACCTGTGAGGAGTTCTGTCAGCTTGTGTTCCGTATCCTGAGACTTCTCCTCCCTAGCGGTCTCTTTTAGTTCTAGTTCCCGCACTTTTTGGTGGACCACCCCTATTTCGGCCTGCACCTCTTGCAGATCTTGCTTCCATACTTTTCTGAGATCTATTAGGAGGCGTTTTATGTCACCTTTTGTCGAGGGTGACTCATCTTCTTCATACCCCGACACATTGGAAGCCTCCTCTGAAGAGGGTGGAGGTGAGGCTACTCCGTCTGCCTGCGAGGCTTCTGAGTCCTCCATGTCATACTGGGCCTCGGGCGCCATCTTGGGTGTCTGTTGCGGCGCCGGCCGTTCAAATGAGAGCCGTATATCCGGCTGCCTAGTCGGTTCTTGACGGTGAGGCTTTTTGTTTTTGCGCCCCATGCTCTCTGCTTTGGGGGGTATCTGTCTTACTTGTGGAAATTTGCTCTTGTTCGTTGGCTTGAGTGATACGGATTGCATTTTTGCTGGGCGTTTTGTATATTTCATATATGCCATTAAGTTCAAACCCCCCAAATTATGCTCAGCTAAGTCTTCTGAGTAAAATGACACCACATATGAATGTCTTTGGCACTATTTCGTGAAGCTACAGTGCCATATAGGAGACCTGTCCTTTACAGTAAAGTTTGAGAGATGGATTTAATGAGCCTTAGCTTCCATTTGGGGTATTATAACAGTTTGACTGTTCAAAAAATCCCCACAAAGGCCTACCATTTGTAAATGGAGACACTCCAGGGTCTTTCATAAGGTGCATATTGTGCCTTAACATACCCCCATTTTTTCACCAATATATGTCAAAGTATGTGGTAAAAAATTATTTTGTGCATTTTTTACATACGCATTGCATTTTTGCTGGGCGTTTTGTATATTTCATATGATCCACTAAGTTCAAACCTCCCAAATAATGCTCAGCTAAGTCTTCTGGGTAAAAAGACACCCCAAAAGGAATTTCTTTGGCACTATTTCGTGAAGCTACAGTGCCATATAGGAGACCAAGCCATATCGTTTTTACCAAACTTTGAATTTTGACGCTGGGCCTATGTGCAATTTCCAAGCATCTTTGCAGGTTTTAAACTCAAACTACCCCACAAAGGCCTACCATTTCTTAAAGTAGACACCCCAGGGTGTTTCAAAAGGTATATTTTGAACCTTAGCGTGGGATCATTTTTCCGCTAGTTTGTACCAGATGTAGTGGTAATAAGCGTTTTTTCTGCCTTTTTGACATACAAAGTGAGTTTGCACAGTATATTTTGCAAACCTTATTTGTGCTACGACTGTATAATACTTCATATGTTGCTCAGCTATGTCGGCTGAGTACAGCAATACCCCCGTATGTACCTTTGCCAGGTATGTGTGGACATCGGAGGGGCACATTTGGGACACAGCCATTCCAGTTTTTTCAAACTTTGAATTTTTATGCTGTGCCTATGTCCCATTTTAGAGTATTTTACCAGGCTATATAATCCAAATACCCCATAAAGCCATACCATTTCTTAAAGAAGACATCCCAGGGTATTTCAAAAGGCATATTTTGAACCTTAGCGTGGGATCATTTTTCCGCTAGCTTGTAGCAAGTGTAGTGGTAATAAGCATTTTTTCTGCCTTTTTGACATACAAAGTGAGTTTGTGCAGCATATTTTGCAAACATTATGTGTGCTATGACTGTATAATACTTCATATGTTGCTCAGCTATGTCGGCTCAGTACAGCAATACCCCCGCATGTACCTTTTCCAGGTATATGTGGATGTTGAAGGGGCGCGTTTGAGACGCAGCCATTCAGTTTTTTTTCTAACTTTGAAGTTTTACGCCGTGTCCATGTTCAAATTTGGAGTAGTTTAGACGGTTGGTTATTGAAACTTCCCCACAAACACATACTATTTGTTAAAGAATACACCCTGGGGAAATTCAAAAGGCATATTTTGAACCTTGGCGTGGGATAATTTTTTCTCTAGTTTGTTCCAGGTGTAGTGGTAATGAGCGTTTTAAAAATGTGTTTTTTTACTTTTTATAACTTTTTTACTTTTAAAAACTAGTTTTTAAACTTTTGTTTTGCTAATAATTTTTTTTAAACTTTCCAAAACTTTCTTAAAACTTTTTTACAGATTTAACATTCTTCTAAGCTTTTTTTTTTTTACCGTTAACCCCTAACTAGCAGTACGCAGCACTAACAGTAAATTCCCCATTTTCCCATAACTCCCAACCACCCCAGCTAGCAAAATATATAGTTATAAAATATTTTAATTAATTAAATTGAACCCCTGAGGGTTAAAAAATAAATAAAAAGTTAATCCTCAGGGGTTAAAAAAAATTAGATCACAGTATAATACTGTGATCTCTATTTGATCGCTGTAGGCAGTGATCGACTGGCAGGGAAGGGGTTAATTTTTATTTGGGCTAGGCAAAGGGTTTTTTTTTTTATTTTTTACTTAAACGTTATTAAAACATTTTTTAAGCTTAATTTTTAACTTTTGAAAGTTTATTTTAAAACTTTTAACGTTAACCCCTAGTTAGCCTAATGCCAAATCCCCCAATTCCCCACTAACTTCCACCCACCCCAGCTAGCTAAATATATAATTTTTAAATATTTTAATTAAATAAATTTACCCCTTAGGGTTAAAAAAAAAAATAACCCTCAGGAGTTAAAAAAAAAATAATAATAATAAAAAAAAAAAAAAATCAGACCATAGTAAAATGTAATCCCTGCCAATTGATCGCTGTAGTCAGTGATCAATTGGCAGGGAAGGGGTTAATTTTTTATTAAAATGGATAGGGGGGGGAGGGAGAGAGAACGACTTTAAATTATCTCCCTGCACTTCACACAGAACCAGGAAGTGCAGGGAGCCGGAAGGTAAGT